TAAAGGAAAATGGTCTTCCATGGGTCAATTCGGTCCATGTTAGTCTGTGAGGTGGCAGACTCCGGGCCCGCTGGGCTGAGTCGGAATCCAATCGAACCCAGATTATAGTGCGCACATCTATTACAGAATAATCTTTTCTCCGGAAGAAGTCCTTTTCTCCCCCAAACACATGTTTTTTTCCCTCATATCTTTAAGAATCTTCCAAAGCCTCCAGAGGCGCCCTATGTGTCCCGGTCTTCGCACGATCTGAAGACCAGGCCAAGACTGACCTTGAAGAGGCCTGGGGGGAGCTCCACAGTGGCTCCATAAACAGCTCGTATGGAAGAGTCCAGATGAATCTTAGGCTAGCATCTTGCGTCTTTTCAACAAGAAACCTCGGTAACTGTGGGAGAGCAGAGACATGTGCAGCCATAGTTGAGAGCAGCGACGTGTCAGATGTACTTGTGCAGCCACTGGTTGTCACCCGTTGCACTGAGTCAACAGTTGCACTGTGAAACCTGTGGGAGTCTAGTGCCGGGTGTGCCACGAGGTCAGAGTGTCACAGGAGTGCGACATCTCAGAGATCTCTTGAGATCTCTTGTTGACAATAAACCGCATCGGCTGCATCAAATGAAGAACAGCATGGCACCGCAACTGCAAACACATAAGACAAAATGTGTTTTTCTGAATGTGTTTTTCTGCTAATTACATACAATTATATACTATAGAGTCAGTCAGTATTCAGATATAATTAAGCACATTTTTTTTCGATGTCTTCTATTAATTCACTGGCAAGAACTCTTGAGGGTTGCGAAATTGCCTTTGCAGGCGTCCAGAGGAGTTGCGTACGGAGTCCAAGGGAGCTGCTGCAAACGTAAACAGTTCTTAAAGGTCGAGTGATGTGAGTACATAAAGTATCCTAAAGTTACATATAATTGCTATTTACCATGTATATACATATATATATATTTAATCCTTAAAAGCACGTTTTGTTCCTAGCTTTGGCCAAACCTTAAAAGCGTTCAGCTAGTTTGCTAGCAGAAAAGATCAGAAAAGGAGTTACCTCTCACAGGTTCGGCCATTTCAACCAGAAAGGAACCCAGGAACTCAGCTTTAAGCGCCTCCAGAAGTTGTTGAGTTATACATATATATATATATTGTACGTGCACATGTTCAGTACAGCTTATTTTTTGTCATTTACAGTATATATTTGGATGAACTCTTTGGGTCACAGGATCTTCGGCGTTCTTCAAGACATGTTTAAGTTTTAAAAGAACCAGCTCGATGGTGGAGGTCGGAGAGGAAACCGTTCGCTCTCTCGAATCCTGCAGCCATCTTCAGGTCTCGTTGGAAGATCCGGTCTCGTTTGGGAGGCAACCATAGAACATGAAAACCCGAGGAAATGCTCTAGTTAGAGAGGTGGTTTTTCGCATCTTCTTTTAGCTAAGGCAAACACATTCTTTTAAAGAAACAACGAAAGCCTTGGCAAAAAGAAGATTCTTCAAACATTCTTTAAGCAAAACTTGGGTACCTGTCATCTCTTTCGATTTCTTCCAAACCGAAATCACCGAAACTGTGTTTCCAGACCGCCTTTCAGGCCCTCCGCGGGAGACCGGTGGCGGCCCGGAAGGCCGCGGGAGACCGATGCAGACGCAATTCTAGGTCCTAGGTATGTGTATGATTATGTAGGATGAAAGAACTTGATCCCCCGGTTCAGAATTCTTTGAATTTTCTTGAATTGGTTGAAGAGGTCATGGCATTATTTTCGGGATGGCACAGGAGAACTTGTCCCCTAAGAATAGGAAGTGGAGGCCATTGGATAGGGGTTCCTGTAAATGATATCCAAACTTAGTAGTGCAGGAGAACTTCTCCATCAACTGTTTACCCGGAGGCCTCAAGATCCGCGAGCCACTTGACCACGACCACGACCACGAGTCACGAGATGATGTTCCTTTCGACTTTCCAGTGAAGCTTTGAACATGGTTTGGAGTTGTTCTTTTCCTGCTTCCTGCAGGAGACTCGCAACATTTGACGGTGCAAGGTCCTCCTATTCCTGAGCATCCCACAAGCAGTTGTCCCAGTTTTCTTCCTGCAAAAGCAAGGCTGACGGACCAAAAACCAATGCTGACCAGGGACATGATGTCTCTCATGTCCGTGTTTTTCACGCCAGGGGAAGCTCGGCGAACCAGGAAGCTCGGACCTTCCATGTTGAACCGGACATCGGCCAAGCGAAGCAAACGCTCCAGGCGACGCTGGAAGGCCTCCATCGCGAAGAAATGGCCTGCATTCTGGTCTGAGGAGCTTCCAAGCCGAGGTGGAAGGCAAAAGGGAGTCCCTTCCTTGACACTGGAGAAAACTCAATGATCCTCACCAAGGTTCCTATCTCCTTATTTGCCAGTCTTTTAGCCCAAAACACCTCGATTGCTTGCCGAGTTCATTCAGTCTAGTGAGAAATCCCCACACATAAGAGGATTCCCGATGAGCTGAGGAAAAAGCCCACAGCGGATGCATGCGGATGCTTGTGTTGACTATTGTCGTTAACTTGTATTGATCTTGCAAGGGGTCTCCAATGGACTACCCTACAGGTAGGTTTAGTGTGGATGTGCCTTGAGTTCAGAGTGACATACTGGACAAGGACACTCAAGACATGTTGCGAGATCTGTTTGCCATGGGGATCCGAGATGGCTCAGCTCCTGACACTCGTAGGTCATCGTAGGTCATACAATGAGGTGTAAGAGTCGGCGTGAACACATGTGGAAGACTCCGGACCCCCCAACAAGCCGGGCACTTCTTCAGCCCATTGGTCTAGCCAGGAGGATCCATGCCCTGCGCCCGAAGGTGCAGATGCACCAGAGCGGTGTGAAGATACAGCACACATCGGTGTGTAGGACGAAAGAGGGAGACCTCCCTGACAACGACTCCTTGAAGAAGGAACATAGACTGACCCTATCCAAAACCCACATGACGTGCAAGTTTGATCGATGCCTTCGAAAATGGATGGGTCTGAAGGCTCTGAATTGTTTTGCCACTTGGATCTAGGATGAGCTACTGAACAGTTGATGTTAATGTCCAGTGGGTTCGTCATGATAATGCTCGAATGTGACATAACAAAGGTGTATTGAAAGGCAGATGAAAGCAGTCTATAGAAAGGCATTAGGGAATTCAGGGAAGAGATTCTTTCAAGGATGGAGAAGGTGGAACATTGGCTGCAAAGGGAGCATCGTTCTCCACCGCAACTGTAAGCTGATGCACGAGAAGTGTTTTCAATCTTGTGATAGGGTCTCCAGACTTCAATCTTTGGATTAGCGCCGCTGAATACTTTATTAAAAATACCCCCAGAGATAGAGTTGAGCTGAAGATTCTTGTTGGTTTGGGGTCTGGGAAAATGCTGTTTGTGTATCTTAACTTGGCAACTCCAAGTTCTTTTTGCTGAGGCCCATTTGGGTGGTGTTTTTTGAATAGATCGCACCCCGCCGCTATTCACCGCGCCTGCCACGGAAGTCTCGCAGGCTCAGCTTCTCCGACATCGCAGGCGCGAGCTCATTGGATTATTAATATGTTTCTTTACACGTGAAACAGGATGCGTGATTGCTGGTGTATTTTGTCAGATGATGGTCAGATGAAAGCGGATCTCAAAACCGCAGGAACCAGCAAAGGTGGAGATGGAAGTTGCAGCTTCAGGTCGGATTGGACAGATGATTCTTCAGTATTTTCAGTAAACACTTAGTTTGTTTCACAATGTTTCACACATGTTTACATCGTTTGCTGAACTTGAATGGTGTTTGGGCGCTTTCCCTTGTGTGTGTGATCTTTTCGTTTGACATTTTTAGACAAAACCAAATGAGGTGCCACGAAGGCGCCGGAGAAAGAGCCACCGACAGAAGCGGCAGCAGTGGCTGCAACAGCTGAAGAGGCTCCGAAAGAAGAAACCAGAAAGGTGGGATGAGGGACAAGGGGGGTGGAAGTGTGTGTGTCAACATGCTGCAACACGACGTGTGGGATGTTTGTGAGAATACATATTATATATATACATATGCTTCATGCGTCTCTTTGCATGTTTCGTATCTCTCGATCTTCAACGGAGTCTGGTGACACCTGGTCTTGTCCAAGGCTTGAAGACCAGTCAGGTGACAGAAATAACAGACTGTGACTGTTCAGCCTGAAAAGCCGACGGGGCGGACCCTCTCCAGTGACCTCCATGAAAGCATCCCCAAACACCTCACAAGCTGGCATGGCATTGGTATGTGGCGGTACATATAATATGATACACAAACTCCCAAACTATGTACGGGCCTCTCATATGATACACTACTGCAGATATCCTTTGATACTGGCCTTTGCACACAAACTCTCGCGGAGCCCAAGAAATTGCAGGCAGTGGCATGACGCCAGGCGACGGAAATCTGAGCGCACAATGCGTTTGAAGCGCTCGGCGGGGCAAAAAATGGGCCGAACTATATGCGCATGCCGAAGCGGCACCACCTTGGAGCCACGGAATGCTGAGCTTCATACGGGCATTCAATTGGGGAGAACACTGAGAAGTTTGATAAGTAAAGTACAATGCTTAGTCCACCTTTTGCCACGCGTCCTTTCAGATTTTTCAAGAAGCCAATATGTTTAATTCCTTTTCTCAACAATGTTCCAGCAGTTGTTCCAGCATATTTCTAGTGATTATGCAGCGACAACAAGTTTGTTTATACATATATATATTTTAATATGTACACATACTCCACGTCCAATAATTTTGAATTTGTTGGATGATCTCTTGTTTGGAACTTTGACGGAGAGACTCTGGTTTCGCTGCATTCCTGCAGCCTGTTGAGCTTGGGAACTAATTGACCAAAGCAGCAGATGTTGAGCCGCTTTTGACCAGAGAGTGTTCAAACCCTTCCTACTGAGCTATGAACATGGGGAAACTCTTCCAAGTGGTAAACTGATTTGTTACCGGATGTTAGAGGCATAAACAAAACCTCGGCTCTCACAATGTCGACTACTGCATCTCAGTGAAAGTACACGCACAGCTTTTATCCGCGCGATTTCTACCACAGCGGTTGCCTTAGTGCCATGGTTGGCACATTTTCCGCCATGCGTGCCGGGTCGCCCTAGAGCGGACCACGAGAAGGGCCAGGAATGCGAACGGCCAAGACATTTTTTCACGGCGGGGAACATTGAGACAAGCAACACTAATCTTTGAGCTTTTGCACTGACGTTGAATCAATAATTCAGTGGAGAATACTGCAAAATCGTTGGCGAAGGGTCAAGCACCATGTCCAGACTGTTAGGTCCTTGTGTGGGTATACGGTAAACATAGTAAACTGTCGAACCTCCTGCCGTGGACGATCAGAGATCATTTATTTCAATTTGTTGGGGGGGTCATCTCACTATACTCGAGTGTAAGGCGTCTTGCCAACCACCCCTGTTGCTTAGGCAGATACTGTGGCCGGCGTCCCTTACTTAGTAGTCCTTGATGTTGCCCTGAAGTGGTTGGAATGGTGGTTGAACCTCATGCTTAGGATAAAATAAAGTGATATCCCCTTTGAGGAAACAACCCCTAATACAGTGAATCCAGTGAAACCTGCAGTACTTCCAAAGACATCCAAAGACCAAAAACATAGACGATATATCGATGTTTTAGGTGTCGAGGGTTTTGCGTTTTCGGACCTTCTACTGATGTAACGTTGTTATATTTCACCACGCAACAGTCATGACGTTCTGTTTACCGGAATGGTGGGGGTTGTGTGGGTAAGCAATGACGTTTGGTTGGATCACCAACATCCATGCTTCATGAACTGCATATTCACATATTGATCTTATTGTCATGCACTTCATTTTAGTCTTCGTATAATAAACATGTGCATTTCGCGGTGAACATGCATAATCCTGATTTGGATTTCAGCTTCATCTCCGGCACTTCATCTTCATTCATCCTTGTTTCATGCGCTGCGTCTTCATCTTCCCTCCATACGGTGCTTTTGAAGAAATGTTGAAAGCAGTAAGGAAACTTGTGCACCAAGATGTCCTCTATAAAACCTCGTCGAGCGATTGCTGTGGGACATTCTGGGACAAGCTGTGATTTTTGTAGTGCTAAAAGCTGGTTTGTGATTGTGGCCTCAATAGATTTGACCCCCTCGTAAACCATCAAACGAAACGTGCATTTTCATGAATCAAGGCCCAATGCAAATGTGCAAAACACAGAGGCCTATAACACCGTTGTCACCATGTTTTACTTCACTGTAATGTCGACACATGATTACGGACCCTCCATTCATTTTGACCAACTGTTTCCTGTAATACTGACTGCCGTTCAGGAAACCATTGGCCAAATTTCCAAAACTGCTCTAAGAGCCCTCCCTAATGAGATCTAATTAATCCGTTTGTCCAACTTTGCTGGTCCAATTGTCCACATTACGACCCCCACCCGTTTTCCCTCTTCACCTGCTTCAATGTCACCACTCTCATCTTGTAGCCGAATATTGCCAGTGAATTCACTTTTCCCTTCTCTTCTTTGCCCTTCACTCCCTTCTCTCAACTCCTGGGGCAGTTGGCAGAAGAGACGAAAGTGGCCTTCCCACCCAATTTGGTTCCAAAAAGCGGATGGCTCGGTGGACCCAGGAAAAACAAGTCATCCAGAAACTCCAAACGAAAACACCCAAACGACGGTCGACGGGGCTCGTCCCTTCTTATGCTGGTCAGTTTTCGCCCTGAACGCCCGTTTTTCATGTTTGGTGTCAATCTCCCTAAGATCTGTCCCCTAAACAGCTGTTACCCTCCCATTGGTCACCTGCCGGTGGAGAAGACATTTAGATAGACAAATAGTATTTGTTTCCCTTGCCTCTCGTTAGAGAATCTTCGACCTCATAGATTCTTTCCTCGTTCTTATGCTACTTTTGACTTTTCTTAGCTTCATCAGGCTCATCATGAAGAGATTAAGTCATTGGGATCCCTCCTCACACACATATATAAATATATATATATATATCATACATATATTATATCATACACATATATATATATATATCATACATATATATATAGTTTTGGCATCCCTTTGACTAAATCAATTGGGTGGTTTGTGGCATCACTATTTGGTCCCAAGACCTGCTGACCTTCGTTTGGGGGATTTGGAAAATCCAGTGTCGACCACGCCGGGATCCACCAAGAAGGATTCGCCGGTTTCTCCGCTGCTGGCGCGCCGGTTTGCGCATCCAAGTTGCCGTGTTTGCTATGCTTGGCCTTGCTGAGACCCTCACTGTCAGGCAGCAGACCCGTCGTGCTTTTCAGTCAGTGGAGGGGATGGTGGAAGAGCCTTTTGACCCGTGTGAGGCCAGGTCATGCCAGGTCGGGTTTCCCTCTTGCTGGGGAACAAGATCTCTTTGTATTTTGGGATCCTTGAAAGACCCACAGTCCCTAAGTGTTCAAAGAACCATAAGTCAAGCGTGGGACTCGGTGCCCGCTGGGGCTGTGTGGGTTTCTGAACATCCCCAGAGCTCAGAGCTCTTCCGGTCTACCAACGACATGTTCGGAGCCAGGAACCCTGCATCACATTGAGAGGCCACCCTTGACGAAGACACCCTTGATGGTAGATGAGTTGGCTGCCAACAATGATCGTCATTGTGTGATCGTGTGTGAAATAGTGTGTGGAGTTTGTATGTAGATACAGTCATTGCAGGATTCTGAAGCATCCTTATGGCAACTCCATCTAGAATCGAAGTGACGAGCCTCACAGCCACCGATATCGCACCGTCATTACCTCACCGCTTGTTCATGCCAGGTAATGTTAATGTGGAAAATGCCACCTCGATCCTCGGCGGAGTCTCAAGGGAGGGAGGTGATATCTTGAGGGTGGTGACATGGTCTCTCCTTTGCAGTTCAACGATCCCTTTGGACGGAAAACCAACGAAGGACGAAGGACCAGAGGAACATGAAAAAGCTGCTGAAGTCCTGATTGTTGCGGCACCGTGGGACGCTCTTGGTTAGCCTTTAGATCCTTTTTGTTGTTAGACCCTCCAAATCCGCCCAAAGCACCTTGCAAACGGAGCTAGTTGTCACCATAGCAGGATAGAAGGTTGATTCATTGCTGGCATCTTCTCGTTGCGGCCAAGAGGTAGAGATCATTAAGTTGGTTCTGAGCCCACAAACAGCGGTTACAGTGGTTGGTGATTGTCCAGCAACCGGACATCAGAAGATCTGTTGGAGGAACGGTGAAGGAACAACCCCGAGAAGGCGCTGGTTTTCAGGAAAACCACTGGCTCGGCGTTCCAGTTTACGCTCAAACCGGATCAAATGGTTTCATCCCCTGCCCATGACATGAACAACACCTAAAATGAATAAATATGAAGTGCCTGAAAACATTTGCGATGATTACGATTGCATAAGGGAGCCACATTCACATGTGGGCACGCTCCAAACCATGGCAAACGATAGGGGACTCACAAAAAACAATACCCTTTTAACAAGCTTCAAACACAATGGAAGATGATAGGGGACTTACAAATCTGAGGATGCAACAGCCGTACATATATAACCAAATTTTACCGTACCTCTAATACTATATAATATAATGAATGGGTGATTTCTCAGTTTGGTGACACTTGCACATATTCCGTTGGTCAGTCGAATATTCCGTTGGATGCGGCTCTTTTACACCATCGCACCGTATTATGTATTTGTTGCTCGACTCGACGAGGTCACCTGGTGGCATTCGGCTTGGTTTTACACAGACGACCACGCGGATCGTCGGACGACGCGTATAATATTGTATGAGGCTCAAAGAGTTGGTACCCTTCTCCGAAACCAACATAGCAACCACCCCACCTACTAGTATAGAGAAGAAAAACTTTTTCCACCCCCCTGCTGCGGGTTGCGGGTTGGTTTGGGTGGGGAAGGGTCAGAGCTTGACACCCGAGACTCTCCAGCGGATCCATGGCGTTTGAGGCCGTCTGAAGTCCCGAAGGGCACGAGCCAGGTGCCGAAGCCGTCGCAGCGAAGGGCACGTCGCCTCAAAGCAATCCTCGTCGTCGAGAAAGGTTGAAGACTTCAATGAATGAACTGGTTGGAGAGACATCACTATCAAGACTTAAGGCGGACAACAGATAGAGGAATGCAGATGGATGTGAAGACAAGACATGATTTGTGCCGAAGAAACATAGTCAATCATATTGCCAACATTTGCTAACTATAATACACATCCAACTCAGGTCTTTGTTCATGTAAAATGCTTCAAGTCTGGTCTTTTTTCGTCGTTTTCACCACAGTTCTTCTCCAGAAACCTTCAAAGACTACACAGAAGTAGGATTTGCTAAGCTCATCGGTGCACTCACTCGCTCCACAGATCCAGCGGGGTCGCGCGAACGAACGGCGCCTCAGTGGCCACGTTCGTGGCCGGTGCTGGGCCAGGTGACCAGCAACGAAAGCTTGGTGGACGAAAACAGGACCGTGATTTCTTTCAATGTTTCTTTCGAAACGACTCCGGGCTCTGTAGGGCTCTTCTCCAATGGAAAGGCTTGGGTCGTACATACACTCGGACCCCTGCGTTTCGGTCAACATCGCCTGGGCCCGTTTGTCTGACGCATGGATCTGCAGAGAGCGTCAGCTTCGCCAGGGCGGAACGACTCGGAGCCGACGGATGGAACGATGCCCAGATCACCCGTTGAAAAGGATTATATGATTTGAACGGCGGCCAAGGCATGCCAAGGCTTGTTTGATGCCAATCTTCGATTTGGGAATGGCAGGGTGAAGGTGAGCTTATGAACACCGAGCTGTGAGCTGTGAGGACGCAAAGCAGCAGCGTCACCTTGGATGCGGTGAATGATACAAGACTCAGTGCCGTCCTCGTTTGGTTCTGTGTTGACTGTCAGTTGGATTCCCGGAGCTCCATCCGGCCCCCTCAGCGAGAAGGAGAGACGAAAGAGGGGACGGTCCACCAAAGGAGGTAGCAGCCCCGGCCCACAAGATCAAGTCCTTGCTGTACCAGTCAAGTGGTTCGCGGTTCTTGGAAGAGCATGTGCTTGGGAGAAGAACTGGGCAACTTGGGCCCCAGGGACCCTACCCATGCTTTGTCTTTTTCCCGAATGCGTAGCGAAGGGTTCTCGTTTAACTCTTGGGGGTCTGGGGGTGGAGCCTTGTTCGTGACCCGTTGTTTCTACGTCCGCAACCGTTCGCAAGTGTTCGCAACCGTTCGCGGTAGAGCGCTAAGGCGCTGCCATTGGGGGAAGCTTTTGCAAGTGACTTTTCATGGATGTGTCACGTGTCAGTTTGCGCCGCTATTCCATTGTGATTTGCATGAAAAAGACATGTCACGCAAGCAACGTGATGCGTTTCGCTGCACAGGCGCAGCGTTTGGTGAGATCTGCAGATTGCTGCGCAGTTCCATTGGGATTAGCGTTTGGAGAGTCGTGTTTTTGGGGTGTTGGATGTGGCCGTGCCATTGGGATTTGCGTTTCAGGGTGTGGCATCGAAGCTCTGTTTTCGTGACAAGTCTCAGCTGAAATGCCAATTTTGGTGGATGGGAGTGTGCTCAGAACGGGTCGAAATCATTCCAAACGTGTGGTGTGGTGCAAATTTTGTTGAAGCTCACATGAGATGACATTGTTACTTTTCGTGGCAGGCGCAGGACTTTGTGCGGGCTTTGAGGTGTGGAAGTGGGATTTTCGTGGCAGGCGCAGGGAATCGTGAGGTTGCGATGTGTGACGGAGGTGACATTTCGTGGCAGGTGCAGTACTTTGTGCGCGTTAGACGTGTGGACGCGGAAAGATTCGTGGCAGGCGCAGGGAATCGTGAGGTTGTGAGTTGTGGTAGAGGTGAATGTCGCTGTCACATTGGGATTGGCGGGTGTCGTTTGGAGGGCTGGAACCGCGAAACTGCTTGGCAGGGCTGCGTGATGTGTGTGCTCCGATGGGTGTTTCCGCTGGACTTTTGGAGGAGGTCTCGTGCGAAACGTTCGTTTTGCAGACTTTGACATGTGAGTTTTTGAGGAAGTCTCGTACGAAACGCTCGTTTTGGGGACTTGACATGTGACTTTTGGAGGAAGTCTCGAACGAAACGCTCGTTTTGGAGACTTGACGTGTGACTTTTGGAGAAAGTCTCGTACGAAACGCTCGTTTTTGAGACTTGACGCGTGACTTTTGGAGGAAGTCTCGTACGAAACGCTCGTCTTGCAGCCTCGCAGCGTGACTTTTGGAGGAAGTCTCGTACGAAGAGTGTGCCCTACAGGAATGTCCCACAAGAGTGTCCTACAAGAGTATCCCACAAGAGTTTCCTACAAGAGTGTCCCACAAGAGTGTCCCACAAGAGTCTCCTACAAGAGTGTCCCACAAGAGTGTCCCACAAGAGTGTCCCGTATGAGTGTCCCACAAGAGTGTCCCGCATGTCCCACAAGAGTGTCCTACAAGAGTGTCCCACAAGAGTGTCCCGTATGAGTGTCCCACAAGAGTGTCTCACAAGAGTGTCCCACAAGTGTGTCCCACAAGTGTGTCCCACAAGAGTGTCCCACAAGAGTGTCCCATAAGAGTGACCCACAAGAATGTCCTACAAGAGTGTGCAACAAGAGTGTCCCGTAAGAGTGTCCCACAAGAGTGTCCTACAAGAGTGTCCCACAAGAGTGTCCTACAAGAGTGTCCCGTAAGAGTGTGTCCCACAAGAGTGTCCCGCAACCATGTCCCACGAGAGTGTCTCACAAGAGTTAAGAGTGTCCCACAACAGTGTCCTATAAGAGTGTCCCACAAGAGTGTCCCACAAGAGTGCCCTACAAGAGTGTCCCACAAGAGTGTCCTACAAGAGTGTCCCACAAGAGTGTCCTACAAGAGTATCCCACAAGGGTTTCCTACAAGAGTGTCCTATAAGAGTGTCCCACAAGAGTGTCCCACAAGAGTGACCTACAAGAGTGTCCCACAATAGTGTCCCGCAAGAGTGTCCCAAATGAGTGTCCCACAGGGGTGTCCCACAAGAGTGTCCCGCAACAGTGTCCCGCAGGAGTGTCTCACAAGTGTGTCCCTTAAGAGTGTCCCACAAGAGTGTCCCACAAGAGTGTCCCGCAAGAGTGTCCCAAATGAGTGTCACAGGAGTGTCCCACAAGAGTGTCCCGCAACAGTGTCCCGCAAGAGTGTCTCACAAGAGTGTCCCTTAAGAGTGTCCCACAAAGAGTGTCCCGCAACAGTGTCCCAGAAGAGTGTGTCCCACAAGAGTGTCCCACAAGAGTATCCCACAAGAGTGTCCTACAGGAGTGTCCCACAAGAGTGTCCCACAAGAGTTTCCTACAAGAGTGCCCCACAAGAGTGCCCTACAAGAGTGTCCCACAAGA